TATTTCTCTGTAATGTAGCACAGTGTTAACAATGTTACTGATACTATTCTTTCTCACACCTTCAACTCAAACCACCAACATATATCATTTAATCATTACATTAATATTGTAAACATGCGGACGACTAGTTGACTAATGGCCGTAAATGACAACTATTGGTCGACTAGGAAAATTCTTAGTCAGGGGCAGCCCTACTGTCAAGAATACATAAAAGACCAATAAAAATATTTTGATGTCAGCACATATCATACTGTCGACCAAGCAATTTGATTGGATAGGAGTCATTCTATGGGTGCTGATATACAGTGTAACAGCACTGAGACTTAAACTCTGCATGATTAAATATCACTTTAATCATTAAATACCAAACTTGAGATCGTGCTGTTGTACTGAATATCAGCATGGCTGTGATTATCTTTGGTGCTCCGTTGCAGGTAGAGAAAAGGGGCATAACACTGAAGAACAGCAGTGAAGTGCAGAGAGATGATGATGGATCATAGACTGTGGAGTGTATGAAACAGATACAAACTGAAATACTTACAGTCAGAATGGCACATTGGCAGAGGTAGGAAATCACCACGTACATTTTATTGTACTTATCTTGACCTGATATACAGTATGTTTTTGCACATCTACTCAACTGTATATATAATGATGTTCATTCTAATTGTCTGTCCTTTTAAATGTTTATGATCTTATAAATGTAAAAAAAAATTAAAAAAAAAACATACTGATCTGTCTGAATTTCTGATGAAAATAAAAACTTCCTGAAGACGGCCATTATGTTACATATGTTTAGAGTCTTTCAATAAAAAAAACCTTACATTTAAGGCGTCTGAGTGGCGAACGGGGAGAACTTTTCAGATACGTGTTCTGAGCAACAACAATAAACCAATGTTGAATTCTTCAGATTTCTTTGAGTGCGGTGACCCATTTATTTTCACATGTGCTCACCTTCACACGGTTAAAACATTGTCTGTCCATAAGTCATCTCAGTTGTTACTCACAGGTTAGTGTCCATTCAGCAGTTCAGTGTCTTAGTTTCCATTCATCAATTCCAGTTTCAACATGCTACAAACTCTTCATGCTGCCACCCCGTCACACAGCTGCTGCTCATCACCTGCACCTTACCTATATTACCGGCGTTTTCTTGCTCTAGTGCGCCACCTAGTGTACAATAGAGCTGCAACTAACAATTATTTTAATTGTCGACTAATCTGTCGATTATTTCTTCGATTAGTCGACAAATCATTTTATCGAAAAATGTGTTAAAATGTTGAAAAATGTCGGTCTGTCTCTCCCAAACCCCAAAATATGTCTAATGTTCTGGTTCGTACTCACGCCAAAGGGTTTTAGTTCACTGCCATGGGAGAGTGTGTAAAGCTGCCAATATCTGAACATAAGAAGCTGCAATAGGAGTAACTTTTATAGTACTTTTCTATGAAGAAAGACTCAAACCGATTAGTCGACTACTGAAATAGTCACCGATTATTTTAATAGTTAATTAGTCATTGATTAGTCACCTCATTGTTGCAGCCCTAGTGTACAAACAACAAAACTGCATCTATTGTATTTATTATTTATAATTATTAAGCAAACACAAAGAACGATTTCACTGTTAGTTTCACTCCATCAGTGTGTACAGTATGCGGCCTGCTGTTTAGAAGAACACAGAACATGTCATTAATTAACTTTTAATCATGACTGATCCTGTCGCTGAGTCAGGACATTTATTTTCATACATGTGAATGACATTTTTAATAAACTTCTTCGATAAACAAGCTCTATTTTGATATATCTATTTGCACACTGGCACCTCATTTACATTCAAAATACACAACTTAATCATTAAAAAAATTGAAGTACGTACCTCAAAAAGGGTTGTTAAGCGTACTTTCCAGATAAAATCCAAATACATCTGTGGTTGTCACTTATTTTCCCATAATGGAGTGAGTTCGAATCCTGTGAAGATGTTCTCTTTTTCACATTTCAAAGGGCGGAATAGTTCTTTAACATGGCACATGTTGATTTAAACAGGTGCCAAAGACGAAACTGTGTAGGCCTATTTATTAAGTGTATTACAGATATGAGTTAAATTTACAGGAAAAGCAACTTTCTCTCTTAGTTTTCAACATTGTGTCACAACAGGTCGTATACAGAATGAGACTGAGTGTTAATGTGTGACTTTGTTTGACACTGTAGTGAAAACTTGAACCAAGAGGCAGTCACGAGGACAGCGGCACATTCTCTTCCGGGTGGAAAACAGCTGTTGTCACCATGACAACCACAGAGCAGACGCATTCAGCTGACAGTTAACATGGTCGGAAGTAAATCCGAAACACCTGCTCGAGCTAATGTCGCAACAAAATATAGATATTAAACGTCAAACTTGTGTTAATATGGAGATGCTGCATACCGTTGGTTCGGTTCATTGTATGGTAACCGTGACAACCAAAGTATGATTCATTCAGATTTACTAGCATGCTAATCAGGAGACAAAAAGTGCCATGTCCTTACCTTTGAAGCTGTCAGAGTCTGAATATGTGTTCATTCCGACATTATTTATATTCCTCTAGTCTTAAGGTTTCATCGATCAAAACTATCTCGACAGTTTTTAAAAAACATTAACTAAAGTTGTGAATATCGTCTGTGAAGTCCATGCTAACTGTATGCTAACTGTATGCTAACTATGCTAACGTACGTAAAACAGTTCTACCAGTTCCTCGGCTTCCTTGTGGTGCGCTTGTTTTTGTGACCGTGCCGGATACAAAATAAAGTTTCCTCAAGGTTCTCTGCGTATTTTTCACATCGGGACACGCCTTTATTACAGCAAGCGCTCCCAGTTTGGAGGCTAACGGGCTCCGTCAGGTAACATCTTAACAGCCACCGTACCACTCTGGTTTCGTCTCCGCTTTATTTGGATACAGATTTATAACGCTGCTGTCTTCTTTAGTCGTAATTAACCCTCATATTTAGGTCTTTATTTTAGTTTGGACTTTTGTTCTGGAATTGTATGCAAAATTAGATAATGCTGCATTTGCATATTTAAACTTAAAATTTCTGAAAACTTGTGGGCTCATACAAAAATCAATTGTCTTAATGTGGTGTCCTAATTTAATGAGAAAGTTTCATGGTGATATTTATCTGTTACAATTGTAACCTTAGTGTTCAAATTTAAAATCATAGAATAAGCAAAAAATAATAATTTTGGGGGAAAAAAATCTTTAGACAAAAATAAGACACTACGGTTAAAATTTGGACAGATAGTTAAATATGCAAATAATACATTATCTAATTAAATATGCATCTTTTGTATAAAATTCAAGAGCAAACATTCGAACTAAAATAAATACCTAAATTTGAGTATGTAATTTTGATGTTTTCTTTTCATTAGTCTGGGAAAAAAAAAAAAAAACATTATAGAAGCAAAATAGCCCAAAATATCAAAATTGACGGATGCATTAAAAAAGGTTTTGACCTGGGGTGTCTCACCTGCACAAGTAAAATATTGCAAACTTATATTTACATTGTTTTCATGAACACAGAACAATAAACTGTCCATCTGGTTTAGTGCAGCTCCCTTTTCTGTCCACTAGGTGTCAATGCAGGCCTGTTAAACATATAGATCACAACCAGCTGCATTGTAACACTAGTTGGTCGATGTTAGGGACTGTTCGTTATTTATGAGAAGGGAGAGGGTGGTGCAAAATGGGGAGGCATGTCAAATAATCTTTAAAGCACTAGGGAGGGATTTATGTTTTTTATTTTGGCTTAGGAGAGGGATATACAACTGTAAATGGTTGTATTAAGTATTTAATTTACTGCTTAAAAATGCCTTCTAAATAAAATCACCAGAATTGCAGCATTTCTCACAGCCAGAAAATGTAAAAACAGAGATTATTGATGGCTTTTTGCATTTCCAAAGATCCTCAGACAAATCACGTGCAACGAACGCTTCCATTCGAAACAAATAAATAAATTTAAAAAGTAATATTAAATCAAATCTGTGCTCAAAATAGTGAACAGTGACATTTTATCAAGATCACTTTATTCTACATCTTATTTAAAATATGGCCAAAAGTAAACGGTTGTTGACAGCATTTTCTGATTTACTGAGTGATAACAAGAGACATCTTTAATTCCCTCTGTAAAAACATTTGACTCTGATATGACAAAAAAAAAAAAGTCAAACACGAATTTTGAACCTGACTTTATCCAGTGTTCAGATTTTGTTCTGGAAATGTATGAAAATGTGTGGTTTTTTTTATTCATTTAAATATTTAACCATATTTCATTAAAAAAACTGCCAATACAAAAAATAATTGTCTTCCTGTAAGTGATCAGCTGGGGAAGTGTCATGGTGATATCTGTTAGGGACTGTTCGGTATTTATAAGAGAGGAGGGGTGGTGCAAAAAGGGGAGGCATGTCAAATATTTTTTTAAGCACTAATGAGGGACTTTTATTTTTTTATTTTTTTCGGCTTAGGGGAGGGTTGTATTTTATTTTGTATTTTAATTTTAACACAGCTTTACTTTAATAGTCGCCATAATGACACCATTTATCACAGCCAGAAGCTGTAAGTGAAGCTTCAGGGAGTTCAAAATAAAAACAATTAAAGCAAAGGAAAAAACAAAGCCACCCCTTCCTCTGATAAGTAAAGAACAGTCTCTTAGAGAGGCTGAATCTGGTCCAGACTTTCAGACACAACACATCAGTGATCAGTACAGACAAATAACTACAGGACACTCTACTCAATATTAAATAATTAAAACAAAATATATCATGTGAGTGTGACTGAGGGAGCTGGGCTGCGACGAGACAGAAAAAATAACACATAACATTCCTGTGTGTTGCATCAGTCAGTGAAAACTGACCTCAGTAACACATGGTCATAAACAGGAGTATGAAATGTTTCCTCCTTGTACACTGAGAGGTGGAGCAACAGTGACGTCACATTTCCTGAAACGAAACTTAAAGTCAGTGTGAGTGAGAGCAGAGCTGCAGTGGAGACAAGTCTCTGTGTTTCTCTCTACAGAAATATTCAACTGAATCCAGCAGGTTTTCATCAACAACAAACACTGGTGAGTTCACTGACCTACAGAGACAACAGGAAACTGAAGATTCCGTCATAAGGTTAGTTAAAACCAGGATCAATTACAGAGAAAGAGAAACCTAGTCATGCTAAAAGCTAACTGTCCTAGCCTGGATTCACTTTGGAGCTTCTCTTATTGCCTCTAAAGCCGTTTATATATAAAACTGTGACAACAGCTTCACTGTTTGTGTAGTGGCTGCTGTCTGTCTTTGTAAGGCTGTACAGCTGATCATATTTACTGTGTTTAAACAACTGATGTGAACTGAAAACCTGAGCTTTACTCAGACAGGAAGTTCCACTCAGGCTACATTTTAACTGAGGTCCAAGTTCAAGTTTTAGTTTATTGTCATATACATTAAAAAGTACAATTGTACATTTAAATGCAGTGCAACACATCTAACCTGGCTCTGTCAGCCCTTTAAAACATATGTAAATAGGAGATAAATAAAAGACAATAAGAGGAAAGAAATCCAAATGTATTCCATATACTCTCAAAGGCCACTTTATTAGGTACACCTTACCAGTCCTGGGTCGGACCCCCTTTTACCTTCAGAACTGCCTTAATTCTTACTACTCTTGAGCCTTGTTTGGGACAGTTTTCAAGAGCGTGGCAGCAGGTTGCGTCTGAAGTTGCTAAGCAACCCTAACAATCATTGTGTAGCCTGTAGTGTGTAGACCTATCGTCTGTGGGACAGATGTAAAGCTCTGGGTAGCCCTGCACTAACATGATCAACTTTTCTGTGTTTATGTGACTGAATATTTACAGAAGAAGAGAAAGATATCTGTGGGCTGTGATTGGTTTGTAACGTGTATATCTATTTTCATATGTAAAGGAAGTATAAATGAGCCTTAATACCGTCGTGTACTGTAAACCGCTGTGAAATGTCAGGAAGGTACTCAGGTATGAAAAAATAGATACCACACAAGCCTAGTTCAAGATTATATTGTCATATTTATTATCTACTATATTCAGTATTTCTCCAGGCAGTCAAAGTAAATGTTTTGAAATGAAGATCACCATGTTGTCACTTATTTTCTGAGCATAGTGATCTCATTGAAATATCACTGCTGAACAACACATCTGAGCTCTCCTTCACTCGCAGCATAGTCCAGGTTATTGAATCAGACTCTGGATACATGCAGGTTGTGGCCGCTAATTCATCGACAACCACAGCACATATTTGCATCGCTGCATTTCCTTATAAAATTTGGCTCTCAGGTGTGATATAACAACAGCATTAAGGATGACTCTTCTTCTTCTAATCATGGTTTAATTTTAGTTTTGTTTTCTCACACTTTGTGTCCTCAGAGTGTAGATATGTCTGCTGCCAGCTGTCTGCTGACTGAAGATCAGTTTCTGTGCTCCATCTGTCTGGATGTGTTCACTGATCCAGTCAGCACACCATGTGGACACAACTTCTGTAAAACCTGCATCACTGAACACTGGAGTACTAATGTCCCCTATCAGTGTCCAAACTGTAAAGAGGTTTTTGATCCAAGACCTCAACTTCGAGTCAACACTTTCATCTCTGAGATGGCTGCTCAGTTCAGACAGTCAGCTCAACAGAAAGCCAGCAGCAGCAGCAGCAGCTCAGAGCAACAAGTTTCCAAACCAGGAGAAGTTCCCTGTGACGTCTGCACTGGAACCAAACTGAAGGCCCTGAAGTCCTGCCTGGTGTGTCTGGAATCCTACTGTGAGACTCACCTGGAGCCTCATCTGACAAGATCAGGCCTGAAAAGACATCAGCTGATCGACCCTGTGGAGAACCTGGAAGGCAGGATGTGTCTGAAGCACGATAAACTGCTGGAGCTGTTCTGTAAGACCGACCAGATGTGTGTCTGCATGCTCTGCACTGTTTTAGACCACAAGACACATGATGTTGTTCCTCTGAGAGAAGAATATGAAGGAAAGAAGGCCGAGCTGGGGAAGACAGAGACTGAAATTCAGCAGATGATCCAGAAGAGACGACTGAAGATTGAGGAGATCAAACACTCAGTGGAGCTCAGTGAGGAAGATGCAGACAGAGAGATAGCAGATGGTGTTCAGGTCTTCACCGCTCTGAAGGAGTCTGTTGAGAGAAGCCAGGCCGAGCTCATGGACACGATCAAAGAGAAGCAGAGAAAGACAGAGAAACAGGCTGAAGGCTTCATCAAAGAGCTGGAACAGGAAATCTCTGAGCTGAAGAAGAGGAGCACTGAGGTGGAGCAGCTCTCACGCTCTGAAGACCACCTCCACCTCCTCCAAAGCTTCATGTCCCTGAACACTGCTCCACCCACCAAGGACTGGACAGAGGTCAGCGTCCGTCCACCTTCATATGAGGGGACTGTGAGGAGAGCTGTGAGTCAGCTGGAGGAGACGCTCAGTGAACAGATGAAGAAGCTGTTTGAGGTCGAGCTGAAGAGGGTCCAGCAGTCTGCAGTGGATGTGACACTCGATCCTGATACAGCACATCCCAAACTCATCCTGTCTGATGATGGGAAACAAGTAATGCTTGGTAAAGTTTCTAAGAATCTCCCAAACAATCCAGAGAGATTTGATATTTGTGTTAATGTCTTAGCAAAGCAGAGTTTCTCTTCAGGAAGATTTTATTATGAGGTTCAGGTTAAAGGGAAGACTGAATGGAATTTAGGAGTGGCCAGAGAGTCGATCAACAGGAAGGGAAGAATCCCAGCAAACCCCCAGAATGGCTTCTGGTTATTATCTTTGAGAAATGAAAATGAGTACTATGCCCATGCCGACCCTTCAGTCCGTCTCTCTCTGAAGTCTCGGCCTGAGAAGGTGGGGGTGTTTGTGGATTATGAGGAGGGTCTGGTCTCCTTTTATGATGTTGATGCTGCAGCTCTTATCTACTCCTTTACTGGCTGCCGCTTCACTGAGAAACTCTACCCATACTTCAGTCCTTGTACTAACAATGATGGTAAAAACTCTGCCCCTCTGATCATCTCTTCTGTCACACTAAGTAGAACAGTCACTTAATTTTCTGCAAACAGACTGCAAAACACTTCATAAAAGAAAATTACACATTTACCAGCACTGTTGGCCTTTCATGCTGAGTTCTTTTTCAGACTCTGATGAATGTTTTCCCCCTTTTTTGATGCACAGTTGGGACTTTTTGGAAAATGTTTATATGCTTTCTTGTTTTTTTTTCTTTTCTAAATACTGCTGCTAAATTTTTCATGGCTTCCTAAATTCATTTGAAAAAACTTAATTACATGCACAATAACAAGATTCTTCTGTGATTTTTTTTGTGTCCTGTATCCAAACAGTATTTGTTGTGCATTTTCAATCTGTTCATCAAAACAAACAAGAAATTTTGTCACAGATGATTGTGCAGACTATTTTCTCTTTTTAAATATAAAGCAACTGAAATGTTATAAAATAAGATATGAATCCACATTCAAGACAAATAACAAATAGATGACTTACGGTTTAATATTTGCAATTTTGAAATTTAGACATTTTGACTTTTTTGCTATGTGCACATTAAAATATCCAAATATTGATCTTATTTAGGATGCCACATTTACATGAGACATGTTAACCTGGTCATCCAGCTCCTATACATGATCAGGAAACTTGAATAAATATTAAAAAAAACACCACCTTCACCTTTATGTTATGTCTGAAAAACATTTGCTGTACACATTTGTTTTCTAATTGATATATTTTATACAATTTTAATATGATGGTGGCAATATCATATTGTACAGGCAGTGGTGGACGAAGTGGGCTAACACCATCCTTAAGGTCAGTAAAAGTATAAATACCACACTGAAATTACTCCACTAAAAGTAAAAGTCCTGTGTACAAAACCTTACTTAAGTACAAGTCTGTAGGTGTTATCAGCAGGAGGTACTCCTGGTCGGCTATAAAAACTACAAGTATTCATTGCACAGTAAAACAGTGTTTTACTGATTTATCTGATATGTTTGGATGAATATTCCTGCTGCATTAATTCGTATGTGGCATTTAATGCTGGAGATGTTTGAGGTTGTGCATGGTAACTGGGTTTAGCAGTGGATGGAGATTGTTTGGCTCTGAAAACTGCGGCTGCCTTGATCTCGCGAGAATATTGTCCACTTTTGCATGATGTCAGAGGAAGTCCGAACGAAGTCGGACAATAACCAGCATGCATTGTGCTGCGATCGGCAGTGATCGATTCTGTGCAGGCCCGGCTCATTTCCAATGAGCCAAATTTCACCAGTTTGAGGCAGCTGCAGTTTTTAGAGCCAGGCACTGCAGCTGGTCTCCACCGACTACAAGCCCCAGGGCATGATGGGAAACACCTGGCTCTCACCTGATCTAACAGCTGATTGGTTTAGATGTTGACTCAATAATATAATGTTTTAGATAAACTTTTCATTTTTGTTGAATTGGAGAGATTTTGATACTAACTGTCTGATTTGAAGGTTTATTCTGTGAACAGAAAACATGCTGTGGCTGATGGTGAAGTTTAGTAGTCAGAGAAACTGAATACGTTCACATAGATTATCAGTGGCTCTTAAATGGTGTGCCGTGATGCCAATCTGTGTGTGTTGTGGGATTTTTTGATTACCACACATTATTATTCCAATATTCAAGTGGACCTCTTCAAAAAGTTATGAATGAATTTTTAATTGACTGCATCAGTATGTTGTTTGCACCCATTTCCCAATAAAAAGGCAACTCTAGCTAAAAATGTAATTTCATTTGATTTAATTTAAAAAACCTTCATAGGGAACCTATTTGTTGCCATTCGCGCATGGGAATTATCAGTGTGTGACACACCAAAAGCCCTGATTGGCAGCCAGTGTGAGGGATGATGACATATAAAAGGAGACAGCAGTGAGTGTGACGATGGATCACTTTATTGTACAGAGAAAATTACAACAAAGCACCAGTGAAGGCGACCTACAACCTAAAGAAAAAAGAAAAAAACTGTCATTAGACACTATCATGAAAACTATCTGTCTTACTTTTAATGTTTTGATAAGAGTGATAACACACGTTATAGAAGCTACTGTGCACAGATATAAATACAGGTGTGCTTTGAGATTTTAGCTCGCCCTTTGGTGTGCGTCAGGCACGAAAAGTTTGAAAACCACTGATCTGTATTTACACTGGACTGTTTTAATTATTGAAATACTGAGTGACACAAAGACTTGTGGTCAGTAGGATGAGAGGATTCTTAAAATCAAGAGAGGATGGCAGAAGAAAGACCTGCACACCAGTTCAACTGAGCTGGACAGCCACAAAAAAGGTTCACAGGCTGAGATCAATGCCCAAACATGTCAATTAATTCAAAACATTGGCGCACAAAAAGAAGAGTGCTCAAAGTGCAAAATAAATAAATAAAAAGTGATAAAAACAGCAGCAAATGTCTCAGTTCTTGATTATCATCAGTGCTCAGTTGAGTTGATGTTCGGGTATTTCTTCTGCCATCCTCTCTTGACTGTCCAGTGCACCAACACACCCAAGATAAACTTTGTTGTTGCCCTGAGTGGGTGCAGTTTCACAGCAGCCCTGAGAGTTCTTAAACGTAACATCTGTCCAGATGTGAAGCCCTGACTGTATCTGAGCGATCTTTAATAAAAGCTGTTGTGTTGTATTTCTTTCCTCTCTGTGTTTTCATGTTCTGTATTTGAGGGGACAGTTCTGCTCAGCTGGTTAATCTACAGCAGCAAACTGATATGATGCTGATTTACATAAGAATTCATGTGGAAGTTGAACAGATCGCATGTAAAGCATTTTATTAGGCTACTCTGTCATCATTAAAACAGTTCATGTCTGTGAAGAAACTTAATACAGTTCACTTTCCTCAAATGAAAGAAAAAAGTTGAATTAAAAAAAAATCACTTGTAGTGATTGTAACAACTGTTTAAATATTTTCATTCCTGGTTATTCTGGTATCTAGTTTTTATCATCTATTTTTTTCTGTTGTCTTGATAACATTGTCAGGGATCACTTCTGGAAGGACCCAAATGCAGAGCAGAGGGCAGGTTTTAGGTTCAACAAAAAGCGAGCTGAAATAAAGACAATAAAAAACATCCAGAGCAGGCAGGTAACTGAAAGTCTACATGACAGAGGACCAAACACTGGAAACCAACCGAGATAACGTTATGAACTCAGGAAAAAAAAATCCAAATAGAACAAAAGACACCAGACAGGAGACGACACCAAAAACACAAGAATGAACGCAGATGAACAGACAAAGAACAAAGGGAAACACACAGGTTTATGTACACAGAAAAGTAACAACAAGACAGGGGCAAAAAGAGGGAAACTGAGATTGGCTAACAACAAACATGCCTTCTGAACAAAATCACCAACATTTCTCCATTTATCACAGCCAGACGCTGTAAGAACAGAAATTATTGTGGATTTTCACATTTCCGACGGTCCTTGGACACATCATGTGCAACAAACGCTTCAGAAAAAATAAATGTGATATTTCCTCAAAATCACTTTATTCAACATCTTATTTCAAATTTGGCTCAAAATAAAAACAGTTTCCATGATTTTAAACTCCTGGATTTTCTTCTGCTTTTAACTTTCAGACATCAAAGGGTGAGGTTTAAAAATCTAACAAGTAAGTTATGATGGAGGGAGGGTCACTTATTCTCAAGGAAAAAATGTTGTAGTTTCCAGGAGCTGATATATATATATATATGTATATATATATATATATATATATATGTATATATATGAACAAGTCACACCCCAGCCACCCCTATCCTGTGACAAGTAGAGAACAGTCCCTTCTTTAAGACTTTATCTTATTCACCTGGGGTGTCTCCTCTTAACAACATATTTGATGTGCAGTTTATTGCACCAGTTCAGTGTTTGTGGGCGTCGCCTGGCATGATTTGCACAACAAGAGTGAATCTCCAGAATTTCATCTTCAGCTTTTGACTTAACACATAACATTCCTGTGTGTTGCATCAGTCAGTGAAAACTCTCCTCAGTAAAACATGATCATAAACAGGAGTATGAAATGTTTCCTCCTTGTACACTGAGAGGTGGAGCAACAATGACAGAGCAGAGCTATGATGTCACATTTCCTGAAAGTCAGTGTGAGTGAGAGCAGAGCTGCAGTGGAGACAAGTCTCTGTGTTTCTCTCTACAGAAACATTCAACTGAATCCAGCAGGTTTTCATCAACAACAAACACTGGTGAGTTCACTGACCTACAGAGACAACAGGAAACTGAAGATTCCGTCATAAGGTTAGTTAAAACCAGGATCAATTACAGAGAAAGAGAAACCTAGTCATGCTAAAAGCTAACTGTCCTAGCCTGGATTCACTTTGGAGCTTCTCTTATTGCCTCTAAAGCCGTTTATATATAAAACTGTGACAACAGCTTCACTGTTTGTGTAGTGGCTGCTGTCTGTCTTTGTAAGGCTGTACAGCTGATCATATTTACTGTGTTTAAACAACTGATGTGAACTGAAAACCTGAGCTTTACTCAGACAGGAAGTTCCACTCAGGCTACATTTTAACTGAGGTCCAAGTTCAAGTTTTAGTTTATTGTCATATACATTAAAAAGTACAATTGTACATTTAAATGCAGTGCAACACATCTAACCTGGCTCTGTCAGCCCTTTAAAACATATGTAAATAGGAGATAAATAAAAGACAATAAGAGGAAAGAAATCCAAATGTATTCCATATACTCTCAAAGGCCACTTTATTAGGTACACCTTACCAGTCCTGGGTCGGACCCCCTTTTACCTTCAGAACTGCCTTAATTCTTACTACTCTTGAGCCTTGTTTGGGACAGTTTTCAAGAGCGTGGCAGCAGGTTGCGTCTGAAGTTGCTAAGCAACCCTAACAATCATTGTGTAGCCTGTAGTGTGTAGACCTATCGTCTGTGGGACAGATGTAAAGCTCTGGGTAGCCCTGCACTAACATGATCAACTTTTCTGTGTTTATGTGACTGAATATTTACAGAAGAAGAGAAAGATATCTGTGGGCTGTGATTGGTTTGTAACGTGTATATCTATTTTCATATGTAAAGGAAGTATAAATGAGCCTTAATACCGTCGTGTACTGTAAACCGCTGTGAAATGTCAGGAAGGTACTCAGGTATGAAAAAATAGATACCACACAAGCCTAGTTCAAGATTATATTGTCATATTTATTATCTACTATATTCAGTATTTCTCCAGGCAGTCAAAGTAAATGTTTTGAAATGAAGATCACCATGTTGTCACTTATTTTCTGAGCATAGTGATCTCATTGAAATATCACTGCTGAACAACACATCTGAGCTCTCCTTCACTCGCAGCATAGTCCAGGTTATTGAATCAGACTCTGGATACATGCAGGTTGTGGCCGCTAATT